TGGGGGAATGAGAGGAAAAGCTTAAGAAAGGAGGTATTGTTTGAGGTGAGTAAATGATGATGTCATTGTAGGAGTGGTAATAACATGAGCAACCCAAGAGAGCTAAAACGGCATGATCCATAACAATCGTGGCTGCTAGGACTCAGCCTGCCCAAGTAGAAGGAGTACCGGGAAGAATGTGTGCGCCATACCAAGTGAATTGGATTTATACTGTAATTTAAACAATGGAGAAACAGCAGAGTTTTCTAATGTGAGAAGTTAAATGACCAAGTTTTCATTTTAAAAGATCTGGGCAACACTAATCTGGAGAACAGAGAAATGTGCAGGCCAGTTAAAAGACTTTAGCAAGAGTTCAAGCAGAAGATGGTAAGAGTTTAAACAAAGATTATGATAATGGGAGTGGAAAGTAAGAGTCAGAAAAGATTTTATGGTAATAACTCATAATATAGGATATGTAAGGAACAGGGAGGAGTCGAAATGACTCCCAGATTTCTGACTTACATGCCTGGATGAATGCCGGCATGGTCTGTTCACTGAAATAAGGACTATGGAAGAAGGAGCAGATTTGGGAATAAAATGAGCTCCAGTATTAACATGTTGAATATGAAGTTCTTGTTGGACATCCAGTCAGAAGCTAAGGTAGCTAAGGGAGTTCTTATTTGCATGTAAGCCATGGAAAGATTACCCTCAATCAGAAAGAGAGTGGTATGAAAAGAGAAAAGGGCCAAAGACAGAACCTTGGGGGAAACACCTGAGTGTAAGACTTGGCAGAAGAAAAGGACCTGGGGAAGGGTTGAGGGGAAGCACACAAGATGTATCCAATTAATTAATTAATTAATTAATCTGTTAAAAAATACAGCTAAAGTTGGGAGGATTGGCACACTACCCATTGATGCATTTTTAGATGGACAGGTTGAGAATGGGTCCCACATTAAGAAAATGACTCAACAGAGTTCTTAAGAGTATCAAAGAAAATAAGATAAAACATCTATTCCAGTGTCTGGGACATATTAGGCATGCAATAAATAGAATGGCTATTACTATTCTAGCAGGCAAGAATTTGCTAGCACAGACCCAAGTATGCAAGAAATAGAGCATTTCTTTATTTTTTTAACCAACTCAAATCTCCATCCCCCTAGGCTGTTAGAAAATTCAAGTTTATCATGTTTGGAGTCTCCTGGCACTCTCTACACCAGAATCTGACACTAGAACATCAAGTTCACAATGGTAGGATTGTTGTTTTGTTCACCCAAGTGTATTCAGTGCCTTAAACAGTGCCTGGCATATGGTGAAAAATCTCTCTAATCTTCTGACTGTTAGGGTCACCATAGATAGCTAGCTTCTTGTGCTAGTCAGAATGATCACGTGAATGCGCATTTTCCTGCCATGCTTGGAGCCAAGTAGGGCCCAGGTCTCATTACTGAGACAGGCTCCCACTTACCTGGGATGCCCATGAAAACATTCCCACCAGGGAGCAGGGCCAACTTGCTGTCACTTTTCTAGGCTGGAGAATCTTTCCCTCTTTCACCATCAGATGGTCATCTCTTGCCATCCCTCTTCAAGGACACATCAAAACTCTGTTCAGTGAATTTAAAGATTGTGAGCATCTTCTATGACAGTCCTTCAAGTGCCCCAAGACTAGGGATCACAGAAGAGCTGGCTATTTAATCAGAATAGGGGAAGGAAAAACACTACAGCAAAACACAAAGTAATACCTGATCAACTGTCCTGCCATACTATTAATGAGGAAAAATGAATAAGACATCAATCAATCATTAATACCATTTGACATGGATATGTAGAAGCAAACGATGCTACATATGCCTTCTCTCACCTCTAACCCACACAAACCCCAAATTCTTACCCTCCCTGTGAGCCTGAGATGGGACATGGGTGCCTTATCACTCAGGCAGTATTCCTCATATTTCATATCTCTGCCTATGAATCTCATTGGGTCATTTTTATACTATAGATTCTTAAGACACATCATGGATATATTCATTTAAAATCCCAGGAGGCCTGGAAATCAGCATTTTAACAAGCTCTTCTGGCTAATTCTCATCTATTCGCTAAAGCATAGACAGAGAAGAAAAACATATTTGAGGAGAAGTTCTGGGACTTGAGCAATGGAAGCAAACATTGGTAGCTAAAGGAAGAACACATTCCAGGCAAAGCAAGCTGGGGTTCTTAAGGTATTCAAAGAGGGTTATCATCCCTGCCATATTGACACCATATGTGACGATCTAGGAATTACACAGTATCTTCCTCCTGAACCACCAGAACTAAATTACTCCCATAGCAAAATGGTTACCAGTACAAGTTCTGGAACTAGTCTCATGTTTAATTCTTACCATGAAGTTTATGAATGAGTATTGAATTTTGGTTATATATCTCATTTGTATTAAAACAAATGTATAGAAGGTAAGAATTTCTTCAACCATTTCAGTTTTTCAGACACAGACAACTTAAATTCCAATTTAAACTACATTATCTTAGCTGAATAAGCACAGAATGGAAGATCTCACATTCTTTAAACACACAATAACAGAAACCAAAGAGCCAATAGCTAGCTGACCATGAGTATCTGCACCTGAAAATGAAAAGGACACTAATAAACCAGTCCTCAAACTTTCCTTATAGGAATAACCAATAAACACAAAAAGGCTTCGGGAGAATTCAACAAGTGTGACCATTTTATTTAGTGTTTTAAGTTCAATGAAATCTTCAATATTAGTTGGAATTCAATAAATACTTATAAGCTTAGGAAATATTTTAATTTCTTTTAACACATAATGCCAGAGCTTATTGTGCCAGAAAGTAAGGAAGTGCACACAAAAAATTTATAAGGACTATGGAAAAGACACAGAAACCTGCTGGAGGGGGCTCTCCCTGGACACATTTGGACCAATCAAAATATTGATAGATATAGATTATAACTTACTGAATAAAATAAGAGACCATAGTGATACAAATAAATAAATAATAAGAGAGAAGGCAAAGTTTTTCCATACAGTAAAATTTCTGTTAATAAAGATAGAAAAAATGATGAAATTCTAAGATAATCATTTGGCAATCACCATGGTAATACTTGTTTAGGCAAGAATCAATAGATGTTAAAACCAGTGGCAGGACATATAAAGACAAACAGGATAATAACATAGTCTCAAAGTGTCTCCCCACAATATTCTTATTAGTTACAAAGGGAAAATTAGTAACTTTACAATGAAAACCTGGCAAAGTCAACTTTCAGCAAGTGATTAAACATCACCAGTAATAACACAAATCGACCTCATATGCTTTCAGATATGATGAACTGGGAAGAACACAACTTCCTCTGTGATGTTTATGCTCAAATTGCATGACCTGGGGAATCCTGATGAAGAGGAAAAATCAGACAGACCCAAATTGAGCAACATTCTACAAAATAACCGACCTATACACTTCAAAAATATCAAAGTAATGAAAGACAAAGAAAGACTGAAAAACTGTTGCCCATTAAAGCACACTAAAGAGAAGACACTGCAACTAACGCAGTGTGTGATCCTGAATTAGATCCTGGCCCAGAAAGATGTTTTTCTTTTGCTGTAAAGGGCATTAGAGAACAATTGGCAAAAGTTGAAAAAAGTCTGTAGGTAGGTTAATAGTTTTGTATCTATGCTAAATTCCTGATTTTGATCACTGTTTTTTGTTTATGTAAGACCGTGTTTTGTTTTTAGGAAATATATACTCTGTCTCAAGCACTTAAAAATTAGGTAGATAGCTAGATGAAACAAATGTGAAAAAAAGTTCATATCTGCGGATCTGTATAAAGGGTATTTAGGACTACTTTGAAGTGTTTTTGCAACCTTTCTATAAGCCTGTAATCTTTTTTAAAATTAAAGAGTGTTTAGCTAAGACCAAACTTCCAGTTTCTGGTTCTGCATGTAAGGAGCTTGGAAGTCACCAATCAGTCTCAACAATAAGTAAAAAGCTGAACAGACTGAAAATCAACAACTCTTCTTAGATCTATAAGAGAGGAGAGAACACATGACAAACCTCTGCTCCCAAGACTGGAGAAACAGACAGGTGAATACAGGGAGTCATGGCTCACCAGAGCAGAAACTCGCAGCAGAAAGCACCACAGTAACCAGTACTGGGTTAGGGAAACCCAAACTGAACTTGACAAATTGCTGGAGGCTCCATGTGCCTAGGTCTGAGAGTTAAAAACTTCAGGGAACTTAGTCACAAGGGAGAACCTCACAGTATTGTGAGACTTACCTGCAGGAGGCTAATCAGGTTCCCACAGTAAATATTGGAGAAAAAACTACATTGTGCTTCCAGTAGAGGGAGGTGGGAAAGGAACCTTTTTTTAAATACACCAGAGCACTCTATTCTTTTTAACAAGGTTTGCCCTCAGGGGAAACTAGTTAGCCAGAGACTAACTAGGCTATTATCAGAGCCAGAGAATGATAAAAACAATGAGATGCCATCTCACATCTGTTAGAACTGGAAAGGGAGAAGTAAAAATATCAACATTTGCACATGACATAATCTTATATATAGTAAATCCCAAGAAATGCATAAAAAGCCTACTAGGGCTTATAAACAAGTTCAGCAAATTTGTAGAATTCAAGATCACTACACTACAAGTAGTTGAGTTCTATATACTAGCAATGAGCAATCTGAGAAGGACATTAAGAAAATTTTATTTACAAGAGCATTAAAAAAAGTAAAATACTTAGGAATATATTTAACCAAGGAGATATGAGACTTGTACACTGAAAACTTCAAAACACTGCTGAAAGAAATTAAAGAAGATCTAAATAAATGGGAAGCTGTCCTGTGTTCCTGGATTAGAACGGCAGTCTCCAACTTTTTTGGCACCAGGGGCCAGTGCTCCTATGAAAATCTAAGGCCTGATGATCTGAGGTGGAGCTGAGGCGGTGATGCTGGAGTTGGGGAGTGGCTGCAAATACAGATGAAGCTTCGCTTGCTTGCCTACTGCTCACTTCTTGTAGTGAGGCCTGCTTTCTAACAGGCCACTGACTGGTACCCATGGCCCAGGGGTTGGAGAGCCCTGGATTTGAAGACTTAGTATTGTTAAGTTGTTTGAAATTATTACAGTTAAAAGGTTTTCTTAACTGTATGATTAAAAGATTTTACTAATTCAGTTTATCCTTTGTCCAGTTAGTTTAGATTATTAATAAATAGTTCTAATTTGTAGTATCCTAAGGCCTATGAAAAATTCCTATAAAGGAGCCCATGTAGTCCCTATGAGTGAATCACAGAAATGTCTGGTATATGATTCTACTGAGACTTCTGACTTCCATAAATTTGAGGGAGTATTCTTGAGAAGAAAAGCAGAAGTTTCCTGCTACTTAAGTCTAGGATGAAACAGAACTTACACACTTTATATTTCAGAGCTAATAAAATGGAAATGTCAATGGGGAAGTCCAGGTCAACTATCATTCCCGTCATGACTAAGTGGCATGAAGACTCAGAATGTGACGACCTAGAGCTGACCTCGGGGAAATCAGTCAAATCAAAATCACTCATTTCTAGGATTCTTGGTAAGGCTGGCTCAGCAATTCATAAATCTTACCATTCACAATAAGCACACACAGAGATCACTACATACGCTTCAGTGTCTTGGACAAATAGTACAGTATCAGGCTGCTTCTCAGGTCTGTGTATGGTGATTACATATTCTTAAGAAAGAAAAGTTCTGATAGAGAAACAATTTACCAAGTATAAAAGGAATGTGTATGATCATCTTTAACACGAGTATCAAACATTGGAAATCTAATATGCTCAATACATGTCTTAGATTTCTTAGCTCTGAAAAAGAGTATATTTTTCAAAATCTATCATTTTCGTTAACTAAGATATGGAAACAATACTGATTTCCTTCAAACTTGTTGAATCTGTTTGGTCGAAAAGGCAGGCATGCTTTTATTTGAAACATACAGAAATATTAGAAATTGCCTGGCATTTTTCTCATGGCCCCTGGGATCCTTGATGTTTTATTGTACAGCATCATTCACAGTAAAAAAGAAAAAAAGAAAAAAGGAAAAGAAAAGAAGTCTCTACCTTGTGAGACAATTTTTTGCAACTAATGATTAATGAAAGTTACAGCTCTGATGTTGATTGTATGATTTTGAGCAAATATTTTATCTCTTTGAGCCTTAACGTCTTCATAAAATAGGGCTTCCCAAGAAGGGCAAGCAGAACAGTGAGGAATCTGGAAACTATATGATTAGAGAATGATTAGGAGAACTGGGTACCACTACATACCTGTAAGAATGGACAAAATCCAGAACACTGACAATACCAAATGCTGCCGAGAATGTGGAGAGCAGGTACTCTCATCCATTGCTGGTGAGAATGCAGCCACTTGAAAGGCAGTTTTGTGGTTTCTTACAAAACTAAACATACTTCTACCATATGATCCAGCAATTGTGTGCCTTGGTATTTATCAATAGGAGTCGAAAACATGTCCAAACAAAAACCTGAACATGGATTTTAATAGAAGCTTTATTCATAATTGCTAAAACTTGGAACAATCAAGAGATCCTTTAGAAAGTGAGTAGATAAATAAACTGGTATATTCAGATAGTGGAATAATATTCAGCACTAAAAAGAAATGCATTGTCAAGCCATGAAAAGACATGGAATCTTAAATGTATATTACTAAGTAAAACAATCCAATCTTAAAAGGCTATGTACTATATGATTCCAACTATGTGACATTCTGGAAAAAGCAAAATTATGAAGATAGTAAAAAGATCAGTGGTTGCCAAGGGTTGTGGGTTTGTTTGGGGCTGGGAAAGAGATGAATGGGCAGAGGATTTTTAGGGCAGTGAAAATATTCTTATTATACCATAATGATGGATACATGTCATTTATCCAAACTCATAGAATGTACATCACCAACAGTGAATCTTAATGCAAACTATGGACTTTCGGGGTGATTATGATGTGTCAGTATAGGTTCAGCAATTTTAACAAATTGTCTAACAAACTCAAAAAGAGTCTGGAAGTGTTGCTAGAAATAAATGGTAAAGGTTTATTCAAGGGACTTAGAATTTGCAAACTGGAAACATAGCTAGACAAAAAACTAGAAGTAGTCCAAAAAAGAAAGGAAAGTTAAAAGTCCTTATAGCAAAAAGTACATTCTTGAGAATTATAAGTCCTGCATTCTGAGCCCTAGGATTGATCCAGGACAGTTATCAATCAGATGACAGGAAGTCAGGATGATAGATACCAGGTGGTCTGGAAAATAGATGACCAGATCAATATATATGTGAGTCCTTCAGGGGGCAATTAGAGGGTTACCTGGCCATCCAAATGTATATCTGGGCATTGACACAAGACTGGAAAGTTCATAAAAGTTGAAGTTTCCAGGCCAGTTAGAATAAGAATAGAGTCTTTCCTCATGCCTCAACCTTTGTAATATTAATAATTTTAGCAATTTGTTTAAAGTGACTCCATTTTATATACTCCACATCTTCACTCTTTCTTCAGAATGTACCAGTCTGGTGGGGATGTTGACAATGTGGAAGCAGAGGATGTATGGGAAATCTCCCTACCTTCTCCTCAATTTAGCTGTGAACCTGCTCTAAAAAATAATTTTAATTTAAAAAAAGGTCTGGTGCATTAAAAACAAACCTTAGTGGCAATTAATATTCTTAAGTAAATTGAAAAGTTTTAGAATTCAGGTTTATTCTCTACTACTCTTCAGAGAGAAAACTTTCAAGAAGCTAAAACAGAAAATGAAATCTCCCCTCCCCATCTCACTAACATGGAATGCCTACAGATTTCTTCTGAAAGATTCTTTTGTTCCCTATACCCATTGACTTTTCTGGGTGTTCGTTAATGCTGCCCCCTACACAGGAAAAGTCTTTACCTTCTTATCCCACAAGCCAACACTTTGTCCTCCTTCAAATTCTCCCTCAAGGTGGAATACTTCCAGAAATTCTAACTCATCTCTAAATTTAATTTCTAAATTCAAAAAAAGCATGCATCTAATATAGTTTGTAAAAATTGTAATTACTTTTCTTATTTTCCCTCTTTTGGCGAATTATAGAGGTCATATTGTTTTTGTGACAAATTTAGTGAATAAAATATTTATAAAGTAAAGATTAGTAAAACTTTTTTTTTTTTTAATGGAGAAAGCGGTGGACTGAATGTCAGGAGTCTCTGTTTTGTGTTTTGGGTCACATTGCTTTACCATTTGATAGATTCTGATCCTTTTTATCTCTTAATATTATGACTCCAAGATTTATTATAAAGAAAAGGTGTTATAAATGAAGGCTATTTTATTCAAACTAAGACTAATAGGTGGTAGCCATGCTTTATCCCAAAACTTGGATTCTATAATTCATAGACCACAGAATAACATTTACTTTTAGTGGTGAGTTGATTTTAGGTAGCATCACAATCCAAAGTTAATTCAAAAAGTAAAAATAAATGTTGCTGAAAATTATGCTTCTCAAGAAGTAGAAAGTTAATGGTGCCACAAAGTTAAAAGAGAAGTAAAATGACCTTCTATTGGTTCTTTAATTTAAAATCATACTATTTGTTTTAAGATTTTTATCCAAATATTAAGAATACACAGAAGTTATCTTGTGTGTATGTTTTATGATAAAAAAAATACATATACATGGTAAAAAAATTATTTGAAGAGAGTACAGTGAGAGGGAGTCTCTTTCTCACTCTAGACCCTTTAACGTTTTAGTCCCTCTCAGAGAGAAGTATATTGTTTACTGAAAAAAAGCAAAGTGCAGAACAGTGCTGATAATATGCTACCATTTGTGTTTTTAAATGGGTGTAAACTAGTCCTTCCTATCCACGGGGTGGGGGGGGTGGATATGTTCCAAGACCCCCAGTGGATTCCCAAAACCATGGATAGTACTGA